CATTTTCGAACCGACCCCGAATTTGAAAAAACGGATGAACCCCTGCCATTTTGGATTTTGGTCAAAATTTAGATTTTCATTTTTTTGATCCATCGATAGTACTGATCCTTACGAGTCCAAAATGTTATTCATTCTCAACCGACTCCGTTTGGAACACTTTACCCTCATTTTGATGTTTGCGATTGATAGTAGGGATCCCTACGAATTCAAAAAGGTATAACATTTCAAAATCAGACAGTATTTACCCGAGATATTCAATAAAAATCATCGAAAAAGTTTTCATTTTCGAACCGACCCCGAATTTGGAAAAAACGTGATGTAACCCCTTGCCATTTTGTTGATTTTGGTCAAAATTTAGATTTTTATTTTTTTGATGCCAATCGATAGTACTGATCCTTACGAGTCCAAAATGGTATAAAATTCCCAAATCGGACATTATTTGGCCGATATATTCAAAAAAATCATCAAAAAAGGTTGACTTCACAAACAAATCGGTTTTTGGTCAACCACTTTTTTGAACCCATCGATTTTGAAAATGTTTGAATGCAGATTGATAGTAGGGATCCCTACGAATTCAAAAAGGTATAACATTTCAAAATCAGACAGTATTTACCCGAGATATTCAATAAAAATCATCGAAAAAGTTTTCATTTTCGAACCGACCCCGAATTTGAGAAAAAACGTGATGTAACCCCTTGCCATTTTGTTGATTTTGGTCAAAATTTAGATTTTTATTTTTTTGATGCCAATCGATAGTACTGATCCTTACGAGTCCAAAATGGTATAAAATTCCCAAATCTGACATTATTTGGCCGATATATTCAAAAAAATCATCAAAAAAGGTTGACTTCACAAACAAATCGGTTTTTGGTCAACCACTTTTTTGAACCCATCGATTTTGAAAATGTTTGAATACAGATTGATAGTAGGGATCCCTACGAATTCAAAAAGGTATAACATTTCAAAATCAGACAGTATTTACCCGAGATATTCAATAAAAATCATCGAAAAAGTTTTCATTTTCGAACCGACCCCGAATTTGAGAAAAAACGTGATGTAACCCCTTGCCATTTTGTTGATTTTGGTCAAAATTTAGATTTTTATTTTTTTGATGCCATTCGATAGTACTGATCCTTACGAGTCCAAAATGGTATAAAATTCCCAAATCTGACATTATTTGGCCGATATATTCAAAAAAATCATCAAAAAAGGTTGACTTCACAAACAAATCGGTTTTTGGTCAACCACTTTTTTGACCCATCGATTTTGAAAATGTTTGAATACAGATTGATAGTAGGGATCCCTACGAATTCAAAAAGGTATAACATTTCAAAATCAGACAGTATTTACCCGAGATATTCAATAAAAATCATCGAAAAAGTTTTCATTTTCGAACCGACCCCGAATTTGAGAAAAAACGTGATGTAACCCCTTGCCATTTTGTTGATTTTGGTCAAAATTTAGATTTTTATTTTTTTGATGCCATTCGATAGTACTGATCCTTACGAGTCCAAAATGGTATAAAATTCCCAAATCTGACATTATTTGGCCGATATATTCAAAAAAATCATCAAAAAAGGTTGACTTCACAAACAAATCGGTTTTTGGTCAACCACTTTTTTGAACCCATCGATTTTGAAAATGTTTGAATACAGATTGATAGTAGGGATCCCTACGAATTCAAAAAGGTATAACATTTCAAAATCAGACAGTATTTACCCGAGATATTCAATAAAAATCATCAAAAAAGTTTTCATTTTCGAACCGACCCGAATTTGAGAAAAAACGTGATGTAACCCCTTGCCATTTTGTTGATTTTGGTCAAAATTTAGATTTTATTTTTTTGATGCCAATCGATAGTACTGATCCGTACGAGTCCAAAATGGTATAAAATTCCCAAATCGGACATTATTTGGCCGATATATTCAAAAAAATCATCAAAAAAGGTTGACTTCACAAACAAATCGGTTTTTGGTCAACCACTTTTTTGAACCCATCGATTTTGAAAATGTTTAATGCAGATTGATAGTAGGGATCCCTACGAATTCAAAAAGGTATAACATTTCAAAATCAGACAGTATTTACCCGAGATATTCAATAAAAATCATCGAAAAAGTTTTCATTTTCGAACCAACCCCGAATTTGCGAAAAAACGTGATGTAACCCCTTGCCATTTTGTTGATTTTGGTCAAAATTTAGATTTTTATTTTTTTGATGCCAATCGATAGTACTGATCCTTACGAGTCCAAAATGGTATAAAATTCCCAAATCGGACATTATTTGGCCGATATATTCAAAAAAATCATCAAAAAAGGTTGACTTCACAAACAAATCGGTTTTTGGTCAACCACTTTTTTGAACCCATCGATTTTGAAAATGTTTGAATACAGATTGATAGTAGGGATCCCTACGAATTCAAAAAGGTATAACATTTCAAAATCAGACAGTATTTACCCGAGATATTCAATAAAAATCATCGAAAAAGTTTTCATTTTCGAACCGACCCCGAATTTGAGAAAAAACGTGATGTAACCCCTTGCCATTTTGTTGATTTTGGTCAAAATTTAGATTTTTATTTTTTTGATGCCATTCGATAGTACTGATCCGTACGAGTCCAAAATGGTATAAAATTCCCAAATCTGACATTATTTGGCCGATATATTCAAAAAAATCATCAAAAAAGGTTGACTTCACAAACAAATCGGTTTTTGGTCAACCACTTTTTTGAACCCATCGATTTTGAAAATGTTTGAATACAGATTGATAGTAGGGATCCCTACGAATTCAAAAAGGTATAACATTTCAAAATCAGACAGTATTTACCCGAGATATTCAATAAAAATCATCGAAAAAGTTTTCATTTTCGAACCAACCCCGAATTTGCGAAAAAACGTGATGTAACCCCTTGCCATTTTGTTGATTTTGGTCAAAATTTAGATTTTTATTTTTTTGATGCCAATCGATAGTACTGATCCTTACGAGTCCAAAATGGTATAAAATTCCCAAATCGGACATTATTTGGCCGATATAATCCAAAAAATGATCAAAAAAGGTTGACTTCACAAACAAATCGGTTTTTGGTCAACCACTTTTTTTAACCCATCGATTTTGTAAATATTTGAATGCAGATTGATAGTAGGGATCCCTACGAATTCAAAAAGGTATAACATTTCAAAATCAGACAGTATTTACCCGAGATATTCAATAAAAATCATCGAAAAAGTTTTCATTTTCGAACCGACCCCGAATTTGAGAAAAAACGTGATGTAACCCCTTGCCATTTTGTTGATTTTGGTCAAAATTTAGATTTTTACTTTTTTGATGCCAATCGATAGTACTGATCCTTACGATTCCAAAATGGTATAAAATTCCCAAATCGGACATTATTTGGCCGATATATTAAAAAAAATCATCAAAAATGGTTGACTTTACAAACAAATCGGTTTTTGGTCAACCACTTTTTTTAACCCATCGATTTTGAAAATGTTTGAATGCAGATTGCTAGTAGGGGTCCCTACGAATTCAAAAACGTATAACATTTCAAAATCAGACAGTATTTACCCGAGATATTCAATAAAAATCATCGAAAAAGTTTTCATTTTCGAACCGACCCCGAATTTGAGAAAAAACGTGATGTAACCCCTTGCCATTTTGTTGATTTTGGTAAAAATTTAGATTTTTATTTTTTTGATGCCAATCGATAGTACTGATCCTTACGAGTCCAAAATGGTATAAAATTCCCAAATCGGACATTATTTGGCCGATATATTCAAAAAAATCATCAAAAATGGTTGACTTTACAAACAAATCGGTTTTTGGTCAACCACTTTTTTTAACCCATCGATATTGAAAATATTTGAATGCAGATTGATAGTAGGGATCCCTACGAATTCAAAAAGGTATAACATTTCAAAGTCAGACAGTATTTACCCGAGATATTCAATAAAAATCATCGAAAAAGTTTTCATTTTCGAACCGACCCCGAATTTGAGAAAAAACATAAAATCATCAAAATAGGTTGACTTTACAAACAAATCGGGCTGTATTTTGCCGAGATATGGGCATTAAAAGATTTTCCAATGATTTGAATGATGTTTTTCATGCTATTTTGGAATATCTCGGCAAAATATTTTTCGATTTTTCAATGATATACCATTTTGAAATCGTAAGGAAGAACTATCGATTGGCAATTAAATTAAAATTAAAGTTTAATAAAACTAAATCTATTTTTTCACCGTTTTTCTTCAAACTCGGTTTACAAAATTGCCTATAATAATTATAATGAAAAAATGTTGATTTTTTGACAATCGAGGTTTTTGATCATTAGTTTATTCGTTTATATTATCGGCTTGTAATTGTAAATCTAGAATTAAATTGGTCTGCTTAAAAGTAAACATCTCATATTATTGATACAATATATGCTTCAGTTGTCGTAATGGTAGGAAGGATATTTCAGTTATATTTTGGAGAATTTTAACATTTTGCCTATTGCCGATTACGTTTGCTGTGATTTGTTAGTCTCAATTAATTCTGTTGAAAATGACATACACATGCGATTAATACATATAATTGTAACCTAAACCTATATTAATAGCCATTTACAATTTGCACAACACTGCACTTTAGAAAAATTCATTTATTCTGGGGGTTTCACATTTGCTTAGCTACACGATAGTTTGGTTGGTTGGGCGCTTACAAAATAATAATTTCAATTTATCTAAATTGCAATTACGGTTAAGGGTATTATTATTTCAAATCCAATCTCCGCTGACATTTAAATCTATTGCCCACTCGCCTCCCAGCAATTGTAGTCGAGTATTAAATGAAATCAATTTTTAAATGTACAATTACATACGATTTGATTAGGCTATAATAAAGTTAAATTGTTTTTAGTTGGAGCTTGTGGTTGATTAATTCAATTAATTAAATATTTTCTCTTAATTGCGTGCATAGAACTTATCCTATATGTTTTCACATATATATATTCAATAAATATTCAATTTTTCTGTTCTGTAGTTTCCCTCAATCTGATTTAATCAAATATGCTTAGTGGTTGTGTGTTTGTATCTTGACATATGTATATGTACCTGTTGGAATTCAAAGTAATGTCTTTGAGGTGGGCCTTGATTTAAATTTAATCGCATCCTCTTTAAAATATAATCGATAAACTTTGGTTTCTTCACTCTTAACTTATCACTTTGGAATGCCAGATGAGGCGTAGGGGAATAGATGAAATAATATATTATATGATATATTAGCTGGGAGCAATTATATAAAGGGAATCCATAAGCTGCAATCAGATGTTCATTCAGGCGAGTCCGATGATGCGGATATGCCACCCAGACTGCAGGCGCCCATGCTGCCGCTGGCTGCCACCCCAATGTCGCTGATGCTCTTCACCCGGCGACTATTCTGCTCGTACAGCAGGTGGCTGTCCAGCCCGTTGGGGTCTAGGATGCTGCCAACGGGTGGGGCACTCACACGATGACCGGGTGGACCGTAATTGGAGCTGCCTGAGCTTGGTGGCGGCGGGGGCGGTGCTGTTGTGGGTGGCGGTAGAAAATGATGGGGAGGATGATGGTGATGCGACTGCATTTGCTGCGGACCTATGGTAGCGTATATTCCTCCACCGCCGCCGCCCTCGCTGCTGCTGTACGATGGCGTTGGGGAGGTGGAGTTTCCGAAGGAGCTGCGATCGCCGGCACGATGGGGTTTGCTGTTGAACCGAAAGGCTTTTGAAAGAGAGCTCTGAAAATTGAAGGGGGACCCATTAGAAGAGAACTTGCATTCGAATTATTATAGTTCCCATTACCTGAGATCCTTTCCATGCCGAAATCTGTAAGGTAGAAGAGACGAAAAAATAAAAACAAATAATTTTTATTAGTTTTGAATTCGTTGAATAATTGATAACCAGCAGAGTTCAAACCCAACCAATCCCCCAACCAATGTCAATTATTTAAATTGCCAACCCCTTTGGCCAGTTGCATTTGACATTTATCTGCGATTTGCCGTGAAACTTCTGGTGTCAGGTATTTTTTTTTTTTTCTTATTAAAAATGGTTAATTAGTAGTCAAGAGTCAATCAAACGGGCTCTTTTATCGAATAAAAGAGCGCAATTTAAACAGTTTATATTTATTTTAATTAATTTTCATATTTAGTGCACTTTACAAAATGCTCATTAATTGTTACTTACTTGCAATAACTACGCATTGTGTACGAGTATATTATATATATTTTTTTTATTTTATATATATTCATAGCTCTCGGGCTGTTCTGTATGTATCGTTTGTTTTTTTCGCACTTCATTTATTATTGATGTATATAATGCATGATTAAATGTAAACGTTGTAACGTGTTTAAATGGTAGTCTTTTAAATACTATATATGTGCGTTTTGCAACACTGAAAATGAATAATACACTGTCTTATAACACTTAAACACGTTATACCGTTATAATATATTCTAAATAATTGAACTAGCTAATGCAAAACATTCCTTCAAGATCTTTTTTATAAAACCAAATCACACTCCATGCATTTTTTTTATTCATCTTACTTTCATATAATTTTACCAAAAAGAGAGCTGAAAATGTATTTAAATTTCATGTTACACATTTCAGCTCCCTTGTATGCTTACTCCCTACTAATCAATCGAATATATCTTAAATGTTGATGCTACGTATGCTTTGACTTGGTGAATTTACGGATCCACACAATTTCAATAAACATGCCAATTTATTGGAAATTGCTGAGAAATATTATTCAAGAAAATGAAATGCTCATCCTTACAAAAATGTATGTTTATATATGTATATTTAAAAATGTATATTAGTTTCTCATATTTTTCGGTTCAACTCTGAAGCGAAATTTTAGTTTAGTTTGTTTTAATACTAAGTACTCTAAGTGTCGAAACATCGTTGTACTGTGTGCTCAAAGTACTTTTGAGAAGTGGCCATTTGTCTGTCTTATGTTGTTTGTGGTAAGGTAAATAAAAAGTTGGAAAATAACACAAACTAATATGATCCTTGACATTCTACACAAGTACTGAAAGCGATAAGTTTAAGTTTATAGTTTATAGAGGCATAGACACACACATATAAATATATATAGAGAGAAAGAGAGAGATAGAGAGAGAGAGACAACAAAAGCTTCACGTCAAATCAGGCTAAGATAAATACAGAGGCAGAAACTTGATCGTTTTTATTTCCGTTCTGATATTTGTTTTCAAATTTCGTAAGACATTTAGTTTTTCCAATTGACTTTCGTGTGTGCAGACAATATAGCGCTAGATACATATACATAGATGTATGTTTGTTTGTATGGTTATGGTTAGGCTGGAGTTCGACTTACCCGCAAGTTGCCACTCGATCGCCGATCTGTTGTGGCATAGTGCTGCAGTCCGCCGGGTCCAGTTAGGGGCACTATGCCGCAACCGGAACGAATGCCTTGACCCAAAGTTGCTCTACACAACAAACATTGCAATACAACCGGATTGTTTTCGTTTAGGTTTGTGTTTGTGTGTGTGTGTGTGTTTGGTTGTGGGCGTAGGCGTGTGTGTGTGTGTGGGAGTGGGTGGGTGTTTATATATGTTTGTGCATGTGGAGAATTTTGTTGCATTTGGCACAAATGAATAGTAGACACAAAACGGGGCAGGCACAGACAGTGGCAGAGGCATAGACAGGCAGGCAAGCACACGCACACACACACACAGATGCCAAAAGTGATGTTGTTGTTGTAGCAGTTGTAGTCGTATGGTTGTTGTTGTTGTGGTAGTGTTGTATAATGCATTATTGTAAACAATCAAGACACAAGGATAGCAACAACAAGCCGTTGATTTTGTATACAATTGAATTGAGGATTATACCAAATTGAAAGAAATAGTATATATGAAAATATAGAAAGTAGAAAAGAAACAGGACAAAGACAAAAAACGGTTAATAATATTGAGAAATTTTGTGTGTATCGATATTGGTATTTGTATTTTTGCATAATTGACTACTTGTAGCGTAAACAACAAAATTATGGCTAAGATATACATATATGTTATTATTATAAGAGAGATGATGTGGGGCCCCGAAATTATAAAGTTTGCACAAATACTAGAATAAAATATGAAATAAATTTGGCAGAAGCATTGCTTCATTCACATCAAAACATATTTGTATGTGGAGTAGATGGACAACGAGTAGACAAACGAAAAATCTACTTAAACATAGACACATACTTAGACAAAGTGTGCTAATTTTTACTCGAAAATCACTTGAGTTTTACTTACAATTGACATTGCATTGACTTGGCAGTTAATATCTAGGATATTGGGTTTTTGGGATTTGGATGGGTTTGTGTTTAAAGTAAACGAAAACTAAGAGATATGAACTACGACTAAATATCATTTCGAAATGTGGCCGGCGGCATTTGAAGGCGCACAAAAGTAGGCAACACTGAGAAGAAAACAAGCTAATGTATGTATGTATATATATATATGTATATGTATATGTATTGGTGGTTCGGGTGTGAATGCATGTTTGTATGTTTAACTAGAAAATCTAGCAAATCTATTCGCAGATAATCCAATTTGAATATGTAGTATGTAAGTATAATGTTCAGTTTATGTATCTGTATCTGTATCTGTATCTGTATCTGTATCACAGTGGACGGCTGTCCACATTAGTTACACGGGCAATTGAGCCCAGTTTATGTTTGCACATATATCTATATAAATAGTTGCTAGAAGAATGCTTTATTACACATTTAATGTCTGCTGTGTTTCGTTTTTTTTTTTTGTATCTGTTCTATGCATAATATGTTTTGGCTATTGATTAATACATATTTATATATAAAACTAGAAACGAATCGCGTTCGCTACTTAAAGATTTGCTACCCAAATTTTCGCTGGCCCACTATACCTAAACACACATCTATGTTGTCTCCAATATCTGTGCGGATCTCTTATACTTGGAATGCAAATAACATCAATACAAATAATTATATTTATGCTTTAATAGATATATTCGAATCGCGTGCGTTTCAATTGTGTCGCGTTTTTACTTTTGCGGCTGTGGTGTTTGGCTTAAATGCAAAGATTTCAGTTGTGTAATACCTATATACCATATATAGTATATACATATATATATGTATACTATATATTTGCATGTAAGTGTTAAACGTGTTAAGCTGCTTAAAGATAGCTGCAAAGCATCAACCGATTTTGCGACCCGATTTGCACTAAGTATTCATATTATAGTATGGACATATCGATAATGCAAAGCTCTTCAGATTTTCGATATGTGATTTACTGGATTTTCACTCTAATTTGTTTTTTTTTGTTATCTGTTATTTTCGGTTGGGTCATGAGTATCGGGGTGGGGTTTTGTCTGATTACAAGTCCTACGAGTTATTTCGTTGCTTATGCATAAATATTCAATTTCTTTGCTATGCTAAGTAAGTATTTAATTATGTTGATTTGATTAGCGCTGTGCTCCAATTATTGTTCTCTTCCTAGAATTACCAATCAGCTTAGCTAAATACATTATTAAATATTGAATCGAGTTGAATCCCATCGAGTTACAATTGATTACAAATACACACATTTTTTTGCCACTGGCATTATGAGAATAATTTTTGTGATTTCGATTTCGATTTCGATTTGAATTTTGATTTTATGTTTTTGTTTTTTATTATTTTGATTTAATGGCCCTGCAATTTGGCCAATTGCCGGGAGTTTTCCATTTGAAATTCTTCCATTTGACAGTATATTATGTATCTGCATTGGGCAAAGTAGAAAATATGTAGATATCGCGAGAGATGTTGGAAGAGAAAAGAGAGAGAAAAATAAGGCACAAGCCAATTAGTGCGTTTTGACGGCATTTCAGACATGCTCTAAAACACGCACACAAACACGCCACATATGCATGTATGTAATTATATATATATCTATATATAAGCATATAATACATACACACAGGTACTCTTATGATGTACGAGAAGACAGATATATTTTAGATGATGAGTGCAGCTACACATAGTATATGGAATCGTATGACGGCGCATAAATACAGTTTATAGATCAGAGAATGGATTGTCTTCAGTCAACAACTACAACAACAATCAGGACACTTAAACGCGTCTCTGGACTATTTCCACACTGGATTACTGGATGATTGATAGAGCTGATAGAGCAGGCTGAGCTTAAAGTGATGATATGTACGAGAATATATGCAAAGCCGTTCAAAATCAAGAAAAGCGTCTCTAATGCTTGTGTCTGTGTATATGTGTGTGTGTGTGTGTTGGATGAAGTGAATAATGAAGAAGAAGAAGCACACATATACAATGTAAATATATATAATAAATACTGGCACGCTACTTTCCTTTTTAGGAAACAAATTCTTCCCTTTCAGAATCAGGAACAATAATTAATATCTCTTTTAGATCCGAAATACGATGTTAATATTTCATAAATTCTAACAATCTTCTGTTCATTCAATTTTTAAAATATTTCCTATGTTAATTATTTATAAACAATCCAAAATGATTAGCTAAATCCGATTTTGCAATTAACAATATTTGAATTAAATTAACATTAACTTTCATTTTACCATCAACATTAACATTAACATTAGAATTAACATTAGCATTAACATAAGTATTAACACTGACATTAAAGTTAACATTAATATTAACGTCAATATTAACATAAACATCTACATTATTGTTAGATAGTTAAGGCTAGATGGGAAAAAAGCTTAATGTTGGATTCAACCTAAACCTTTTCCAAACATATATTTAAAAATAATTACTCAACATTAATACGTTGCCCTAGTTCAAATTCCTATACTAATTGGACAAAAGCAGTTCCCTGATAAAATTGAATATTAATGTAAAGCAGATGATGCCGATGATGATGATGTTGATGATGATGATGGGAATGATGGGGATGTTGTTGTTTATGATGGACCATGCAGAAATGATGAGACGAACAAAATGAATGAAATAATGAGCACAATAGCAATAAACAAATCAAATTACAAGCATGTACGATTATGTAATCGACAATGGGAGAAAATGCAAAGTAAAAACAACCCAATCAAATGTGAACGAAACAATAGAAATTCTAATCGAATGGGTACAGTAATCAAAACGCTGTTTAACGCTACATACATACTTATGTATACAGATAGGGCAGAGAGTTGTCTCGGTATCGAAATCGACAACCGAAACCAGGGTTACGTAAGGGACACACACACACACACACTAATCATGTGAATGTGAATGGTGGCGGGGGCGGGGCGGGGCGGAGCGGACACTCACCTTGCGGGCAGGATGAGGGCATCGAATTCCGTATTAAGATGGCGTCGTATTATGTTCTTTGATGGGGGAATGCCCAGCGCCGTAGCCATGGTATCGCCCGAAAAGGATGGCTCCAGCACAACAAGTCCGCCATGGACGCCGCTGTCTGCAAATGGAACCGGACACAAGGGCTCAATTCAGTATATTTCAATTGAAACTCAACACTGAAGTGCTTTAATGGCACATTATCATTATCCCATATAGGCAACTGATATCCACTTGCATCGAACCAAGAACGGGATGCTTCATTATGGAGTACAACGAACTTACCCTTCAGGTTGTCCGCGTACTCGCCCAGGTCAATGGAGCGCACCCAGCGTATGAAGCGTTGGTTAGTCCAGACAATGGGATCCGTATCGACAGTCTCCGATTGCACCCGTCGCATGGCCAGCGTCTGACGGTCATATTTGACAATGCGCAACACGTGAATGCCTAAGGGCAGGAGAGAAGCCAAGATATTAGCTGTCAGTTGGGCATATTCCAGCCAAAGGCTGCTGCTGCAAATGCATACCATGTACAATGCTGGCCTGATGGAATTTTCGCGTCACACCGAGAAACTTTTCCAGCTCCTTCTTGGATAGGGTGTCCAGCATGCGGGCATCAACCAGAGACTGCAGGAAGGGCTCAGCGTACTGCGGCAGTCCGATGTCCGGCAGCCACTCGGTGGCAACCCAAGTGTGGCCCAGTTGGGTGATCAGTGGATAGCGCACCAGCTCCGGACGTCGCTGCTCCTCAATGGCCAGTCGCAACTTCTTGCGATGCATGGGATGACCCAAGCCCAAGCCGGCCTCGAGCTCAACGTCGTTCAGCTCGAGCAGCACCTTGCCGCTCTTCACGTTCTCCGCACAGCGTGCACTATATTGTGGCATGCCCAGCGCCACCTCCAGCCAGGCCAGCACCTGCGTGGCCCGCCAGCGTTCTATGGGCAGCTGGGAGGCCTCACGCAGCAGTCGCAGCTTTTCGGCATAGCCCTCCTCCGATAGCGGATTCCATGAGTAGTCGCTGTACTCGGTCACTCCATCGGCGGACATGGCCTTGCTCTTGTTACGGGACCGTGCAAAGACACGCGAGATGCTGCCCCAAGTGCCGCCACGCCCATTTCGTGCGCCCAACGGTCCGCTTTTGTTGCCAAACTTGCGAGTTATGGCGCCAGCGCCGCCTGGTCCCTCGGCATCCGGCGAGAGCTGCTCCACGGATCTGAAGGGAAGAAATTATACATAGTACATACTGAAAGACTTTTTGTAGTGTTAAATTACCTGGAATAGGCGCCCGAGTTCAGAGGCGAGAGTGTAGGGCTGCGTTCCTTGGGTGTGCCAACTGAAAGATAAGAAGAATAGAGTGAAGTTGATTAAGCGGAAGATTTGGACAAACTCTCGGCTACTCACATTGGTACATGTTCTGGCTGGAGACTAGAGAGATGCTGTCCGGATCGACGGTGATGCAGGGCCCGTTGTCGCAGGTGCCGTCGCTGAAGTTGAGCTCCCCGCCGGTGCTCTCGCGATCGCTGCTATTCCGTAGGCCCGAGTCATTGGAGCAGGAGTTGCGATCGCCGACTGTGGCGCCGGAGCCACCACTGAGGCTGCCGCTAAACGCCGACAATGAGTTGGAGTTGCCACGGCCACTGTCCTCGGCTGTGCCACGCATTCCGCTCAGGTTGCCCGCGAGACCCGAACCGCCGGCCATCTGGCTGAGCATGCCGGACGCGGCCGATGGTGGCGTCAGCGGCGCAAACGAATGCAGGCTCTCCTGGTCGGATAGGCAGCCCGTCAGCTGGCGTCGCGCCTCTTGCAGCTGCTCCTGCAGCCGCTGCAGCTGCAGGTCGCGTGCCGATAGCTGCTGGGCCAGTGCGAGCGAGCGCTCGGCCTCGTCGCGCGCCTGCTTCAGCAGCTGGAAGCGCTCACGATCCCGATCGCCCGAGATCTTGGCATTGGTTGACTCTGTTTCGCGCACACGCTCCTGATAGTTGCGTATAAAGTCGCGCAACTCCTGCTCCTTCTCCTGCAGCGAGGCGCACAATTGTTTCACCTGGCCCAAGAGATCGGATTTGTCGGTGCGCAGTTTCTTACGCTCCAGCCGCATGGTCAGCAACTGGTTCTTCACGCTGCGCAGCTCCGTTTCCAGCCGTTCAACGCGCTCCTGCGACGCCGATGGCTGGGCTGCATCCAGGTCGGCGGCGCCTGGTTCGGCACCACCAACGGCTCCGTCCGTCGAATGCTCGAACAGCCGGCGCAGACGCAGCAGCTCCGCATTCAAGCGTTCGTTCTCGTCGCGCAGCTTCATGGCCATCTCTGCAAGAGAACGTTGGGTTTTAGATGAGTGTGTGGCCAGCCAGCTGGCCGGGTTGAGTGCCGCGCTAAGCTCAAGCCGTGGAAAAGCGGGGACGGTGTCGTTGCCGATGATGCTACGCGTTAGTTAGCAGCTAGCCCCATGGCTCCCATAGCTACCTTTTATCTATATGCCAGGCGTTCTACTACAGGCTCCCACAGAACCCATCACCCCGCCAACACTTCCAGCTGACATGTCGCCCAGTCAGCTGCCGATTACTTTGCATGCCAAATCTCTAAACACAGAACTACGAACGAGCAAAACTAAAGAGTGCAGTGTGGGAGCAGGAAAAGTTTTCCGTTTAAACAGAAAACAAGTTAAATGGGCTAGGTCAAGGATCAATCTGGACAAATTCCGAACGGGTGGCCGGAGGATGGGATTGCGGAGGGATTGCTGAGTGTGTGAGTAGGGCATGCGGGTTAAATGTTAATGCGAGTGCTGATAGGACGTCTGCTGTGCTCCAATTAAAAGTACAGAGCGGAAATGGCAGATGAAATGTGAGGAAAACGCAAGATTGAAATGGCGAATGGCGAATGGGGAAAGGCTTTAGTACGGGTGCGGGTGCAAGAGTACGAGTCTCGGATCGACTTACCTGGACGAAATATGAACTTTGACTCGTCATTGCGATTGCCATCAGGAATGCTGTTCGAGTTTATGTGGTGGCTTGTGCTGGTTGCCTCTAGCATCAGCAGCGCGGCGGATGCAGCCGATGTCGGGGAGCAGGACATTGGGGATGCCAATAGCTTTGGCATGGCCGTGGGCATGGGTACGGGCATTGCCGTTGCGGATTTTACTTTCATTGTCTTCGATATGGTAGGTAGCTCCGGTTCCATTAATTTCACAATCGAGCAAACATCATTCGCATTTCGCTTGTCGACTGCAGTTATATTGTTGTGTATTGAGTATTTCCCCCCCAAATACACACCAAACGGGGCAATTCAATCGAATTCGTGATTTTCGTCAATAAGTGGGTTGAGTGTCCAAATGGATGGGGGTTGGGGGGTGTTAACAAAATAAATAACAACAGTAATAACAACAGCAACAGCAACGATTTAAGCACATCATGTTAATGTAAATGTTAATGTTAATGTTAATGATTATGTTAAGGATTATTATGTTTAAGATTATGTAGGAGGGCTGACACAATGGAGTTGAGTATGTGTATGTGAGTGCCTGGTTTGATTGGATCTTTGATTTGGATTAGTCACACACACACGTGCACACTCACACACACAGGGAAATGGAACGTGCAGGTTTCTATTTGATTTTGAATAGCTAAATACAATGTGAAAACCAAATGCCATCCGAAGTACTTAAACATACTTATAAAGGGTATTTAATAAACATAAAATGTATATACAACAATCAATATGCATTTTGATTTTTCAACATTTAACTAAAATACGTAATGACATTTATATCATATTTTATTATAGTAATTGGAGATGAATTCGATTTGACTTTTTATCAGGGCATTCATTTTAAATGGATTTCAAACTCATTCATGTGCATAGTTTATTTAAATCGTTGGATTACACATCTGTTTTATTATTATTTATTCATTCTGTTCTATTTGCACGTTTTTTCCTAGTAATTTATGATTAAAGGCCAGACTATAAATCCGAATTAAACAATTTGGGAAAATAAATTCGCGGTAATCCATAAATTTGATGTTTTTTATTATAAAAGAAGCCACAATAACTGCCGGCAATCATTTATATATACCCATAACCTAATCAGATCTAGTCAGGTTGAAAAAATATCAAATTGCATAAGGTTTTTATTGACTTGCACAGGATATTTTTGCATAACTTTCTCATGAAATTTGTGACGCATTATGGAAGATATTTTGCCATGAAATATACGAAGACTATTTGGGACTATTTGAGGTAGAGATTTATATTTTGTAACAGGCCACATTTATGTAAAAGATTTTTAGCCTAGATTAAAGTTAGGACTTTACTGAACCCAATTTTCCCTTAAATTCTTTTTGTTCTCTCAGATCAGGTTTTTATAATTGTGTAATAGTCGTAGAAATAAATTGAATGCCAATTTGTTAAATCGGAATTAATAAGAGCTGATGACAGCCATTTTGTCTTGTACCAAAATTCTCGTATACCATACACAGATTAAGAAAGTTTTACTTCATGTGTTTGTTGGGCTTGCATGTAAAGGTAATTCGGAGGTGTGTTTAGGAAATCTCATAGTGTACCTTAAGCTTAAAGTATTTCAAACGGTTTACTTTCAGTATTTTAAGTTTAAAGTCTTTACCTTCTTTGATTGGATGAAATCAACTTTAACAAGTCTAATATTGAATATCTAACTCTTTAACCCAAAAGGAAACAACTCTTTCTTGAATTTCATGTTTTTGAATCTGTTTTAAGTAAGGATAGCTCTGAGTCAACCCGTGTATAGTCAGTTGCAGCCACATCAAGATGTGGCAAATTTGAGGGGCTATGCTAATGCGACCGCATGAGATAGGGATGTGCATCTCGTCAGGCAGCGTGATTTGCGATTCCCTGCAGCTCGATTGCCATTCGACAACAGCTGCCGCAATCTCGATTCTAATCCTGATGACAGCAGGTCGGCACCGCGTCTCTGTAGCTGAATCCATCAGAGCGGCCGCTGCAGCGCTTCGTTACGTTTTGTGCCCGGGCCATTAAAGCGGCTGAGAGGAGTCCTTGCTGCTATTATTTTTTGAGAGTTTTGCCGGGCATGCGAAGTGCCATCTCTTTGCCACACCCCAACATAATCTGGACCCCAACTGCACTTTGGCTCGTTTTTGCTGGCCGCCGCATTTGCAAATCCAGCTGCGGACCCATTGCCGTTCCTAATTCGAGTAAGCAAGAGATTTGCGTTTGTCATCTTCTCATGTGCCCGTTGCCCGAGTTTTCCCCATTTGTTTTCTGGCACATTTGCCACTGCCCGGCCTCGACTTGGTTGCAGTGCGATTTTAATTTTAATTTTAGGACTAACTACTGCAGAAAGTGTCCAGTGAAGGCAGCTCAACGTATCCTGCTCAATATCTGATGCAAATACTGTGCAACTGTCTGTGGCATATGCAAAAATACCTATGTAAATTCATTTTCCGAATTTTTAATGCAACAGGCTCAAGACCATCTCAGCCCAAACTGCTTTACACAGTTGTATTCATTTGCCTCTCGTAAATCATAATCGAAAAGCAATTCCAACTACAAGGCATACACGAAATATGCCTAAATGGTATTCCTGTAATGGAAACCCATTTATTATGGTACCTGTTTTCGATATGTGCTCAACGTAAACAAAGTTTCTTTTCGGTAAGAATAACCAAAGTGAATGGTATAATTAAGATGTGAGCGGGGGCTAGGAACAAGCAAGAGCGCACTAGTCGGGAGTGCCAGACTGGGAGGTACCCTATACCCAACGTCAAGCTTTCTATGCTTTTCTTTCCTTAATTTAAACTATGTATGAGAGCGGCCCTCTTGATTAACTTTGGTGCTTTAAGTCTGATTTTTATGAAATGCGTAGGGCGTGAAAATGGGATATTAAAGGATGTATATACCAAAGCCCAAAGCTCTACTTTTAAAAGTTAGTTATTTCCAATTTTAGTTAGAAGGAGAAAGGTACAAAAAAAGTTAAATTATCATTTTTATATGCTATACGAGAATATATACTGGTTAATCTAGCTCTGATAATTTTCGATCTTTGTTTAAAAAATGGGATTCGACATCGATAAAGAAAAAGGATAAATTATAGAAGAATATATATTAACAATATTTAGAACTCGGCTCAATTTACTAATTTTGTTGTCCTGGTCAAAATTAAATATATAATTAATGGGGTCGGCAATGAATGCTGTTGCTTGTTACATTTGCACAAAAAACATCCTACCCTCTTTACCCATTTGCCAGGGTAGAGGACATACAATTAAAGTACATATATGAAGAATTTAAATTGTTGTTTGTGTGGCAGATAGTGTAACAAAAGAGGACAATTTGTGACTATGGTTTATGGTCGTTCCCGTGCTGGGTCGCACATACATATATATATATATATATACATATATATGTGTACTATATATATACGCATGTGTGCACATGTAAGTGCTTTAAGCCCCATCCAGGTGCAGCTGAGCTAATTGCGCCCACTCACATACCCACTCAGCTGAAATGTTATAGAAATGCTTGTGGAGCGGGGCGGGCTGGCACTTACCGGCGTTCAGCTGGCTGCCGCTTGCGTTGACCTGGGCCAAGTGACCGGCGGCAATCAAATTTGAGTTATTCGCATGGATCATGGCTGCCGTGGATATTGTGGTGCCGGAGTTGGCGCTGCTGCCATTCACTAATTGCGACTGTGGTAGCCCAATCCCAATCACCGCGGCTTGTGCTTGTCCCAATGTGTCGCCCTTGGCGGCCAGGCGATTCTGGTTGTCGATGGTCATGGGTGGCGTGAGCGTCTGATTGCTCCCATTCGAGCTGGCCGGGGAGCTGCTGCTATCGGAGGCGCACGCGGAGGCGGAGGGTGTCAGTTCCCGTTTGCCTGCCAGTAGGCTGGGCTGCTTTAATGTCGGTGGCGCTCCGCCTGCCGATGAGGTCGAGGAGGCGATGACACCACCGCCAGACGCCTGGCTGATGCAGCTGCTGCTGCTGTTGTCCAGGGAGAGCACCGGCTTAACGGGCTTGTTGTTGTTGACGGACTTCTCTTTGAGCGCGCCCACACTCGAGTCCAGCGACTTGACAATTTTCTGCAATGTTGGACAAGCGTTTAATGAATGCAAGCACTTCAATTAGCCAGCGTCTATGCATAAGTAGGATAGTAGAGATGTTCAAAAATAGTGAGACAGAAAGAGAGAGAGAGGGGGATAGAGGCTGATGTTGTAGACGTGAGCTCAGTCAGAGTCCGAAGTCAATTAGTCAATGAAAATGTGTGAGCGGGGGGTAAATTGAAAAGTTTGAAAGTGGAAATGTGCCAAAACTTTTGCAAGCATAAAGTATAAGCATGTGAAAGTGGAACAGCGCTGAATGGCGAGTGGCATGCAAATTGTATGTTGACCCCTAACCCTAACCCAACCCCCCAAATACCCCGCCTACCACCAGCGGCGCTAACAAGCAAATGAATGAGGCCCAATTAGGTTAAACATCAAGTGAATGTGGGGTTTTTTTTTGTGGATGTCTTTGTTGTTGTTGTAGCGGGGCTTGGGCATGCAGGGTTGGCACTTGGATTGGTTGTGTTGTACTTGGTGTACTTACGGATTCGCCGAGCTTGTGCAGCGAGGCATTTATGCGATCCGGATTGCGTGGCGGCGGCTCTGGTGGCTCTGATGCGGCCATGGTTGGTCCGGCAGCAAGACCGTTTATTTGCATACCTCACACACAACTGAAGAGCTCCCAGTGCCACAACTGAAGAGCCAAAGCCAGAACCAGTGCCTGTGTCTGTCCCAGTCGCAGTCGCTCTATGCTAGTTGCTAGTTGCCCAGATATTGAATACGAATGTACAAGTGTGCTGAGCCCGACCGCAAGTATTTCAACTGCCACAATTTGCACCATGCGCAGCCCGCTCTAACATTCTGACTACCATTACAAACAGACCCGAGGAAATACGTACACAGACTGAGGGGGAGAGAGAGAGAGACACACACCCGATATGCCGCAGATGTTGGCCGCTGATTCCGATGATTCCGACGATGATGACGATGATGATGATGATGATGTCTTCCTCTGTCCCAGTTCGAGTCCTTGCTTTTAATCCTTTAATTGCTCAACTTTTCGTTTGATGATTTTCTTTTTTAGTCGCCGTCGACTTCGAATGCATCTGTAAATAAATGAAGAGGCTTTATTGAGCAATTTATTTCCATAAGCTGCGGGCTCTTATTATATATCTACCATAAATACATATACAGAGGAAGGCATTTTAAGTTATTTATATATTAAATATCTTTCAATAAACTAAAGAAATTTGGAATTTAACCTACAAATTTACAATGCGAAAAAAACAAATCTCCAAAGCTCTCCAAAAGCAAAACGTACAAAGCATCGATATATCGATACTTGTGACCTCACAGTATCGATACTACTGAGGTACTGCCGTACACAACTATCTATTGTATTACGCGAAGGTTCCTTGAACATCCTAAGTACTATTCGATGACTATTTGAGGGTATCTACCTTAGTCGATTATCGCTCAAAACTCTGTTCGTACCCTTTTTACTGCTGGCTGTAAACACTTTATCGCAGTCGGACCTTATATATGTGTGGGTATAGATGTAATCCACTGCTCATAACATCGGTTTTGAGTTGTTTCCAATTTTCTATGCATCCAGTTGCGTGTCAGGACTCGGTTTTACTGCACTGCGTCCGGAAAATAGTAAATGTAAAAGCAGAATGCTTGTAATAGAAACGGTAATGGGTACCGCCAAATGGGTTAGGGTTAGATGGAAGCATACAGAAGTGTTGATTTAGTACATATATATTATGTAAAGTGCTTTCCAGAAATAATTTACGGTTGAGCAATTTCAGTTTTATGCACACACGTTGTTCGGAGCCTTAACTAACAGTTTTTGCATCCATTTTATGACCGCAGCTTGAGTATTTTACAAAATCGGCGAAAAGTTATGTTTTCATTAATATTTTTCATGTGTTAGCTTTAACTTCGCGACTGTGAAACATTAACCTAACTTTGCCCCATACAATATTCGCTCTTTACTTGCCAAAAGCCGATCGAATGAATAACAAAAAGTTTCGTTCAATAGTTCTCCAACAATTTTGTTGCATATAAATATATTTAAGCAGACCGACAGATGTGGTTAAATATACATATACAATAGTATATATCTTTTTTTTACCTCTTTCCGAACCGGTTTTACATTTTAAAATTACTTAACAGCATATATAATAAAAATATATACAACTTCGAATTAAATTTTTGTAAGTGGCTCCGTTTATATTCAATGGTGAATTCTCTCTGCATTCAGATTTTAATCCGATTTAGCCAAAGGTACAAAAAACCGACCATGAATGGTGTCCAGTTTCCGTTAATCTTTTTTTTGGTTGAGGTAAGAAAAAATGTTCACAAATAGCCGGCTTAGTAGAGTCCTCATATGCTGGCGACTGTCCAGCGGGCGGTGTTCAACCGGAAATAGTTCTATCTCTGGTGCACCTTGACTCGAAACCACAAACATATGGCTGGGATATGAGAATAACCTGACCACAGGCACACATGCAGCACAGCTGCAAGTGAAGTCAAGCTGGGGATTCCCACTGCCTCAAATGGGACTAATGTGTTTTATGGTGGTGAGCTGGCGGAGTGGGCGTCCATTCCCTGCTGGAGGCGCAGGAGTGGGGTGGAGTGAGCGGCGTTCGCATGTGGCAAAACAGGAACTTTAATCATAATAATAACACACAACTTTTCGGTTAAATCCGAGCATACAGTTACATGGCCCCCCACCTCGGCATACATATACATATGTACTTGTGCATGTGTGTACATACATATATGCAAACAAGTTCATTTTAGCTAGGAAAATTTATATCTGCAGTTTGTGAATAGGGTTGAGTTTTGTAATACACAAGCTGGTTCATAATTGAAGCGCTCTATTTTCTGCACTATTTCAATTCTTCGTTCTAAATATAATGGAAAATATGGCAGCGAAGTATGTTAACCGAACGGGCTTTATATTACAGCATAAAATCTCTGAACTATTTGAAAAATGACTGTTCACAGTGTCAGTGTTGGGAAACGTATGTTGATGTACTTGCAGGAGTTGCCACCTTATTAAGGCCCCAACTGTAGGCTAAATATTTGACCTTAATTGGAAATATACTAGTATATATATGTAAATTATAATTATTTAATTTTTTTACTTAATATAATTGTTTTTTCATCATTTATATTTATAAATTTATTAATACTTATATACTTTTTATTTTTATTATAATTATTTTTAAAGTTTAAATTATTTTATTTATGATCATGGTAGCCGTGTTGTGTTCCGTTGAAAATTTGTACTATTTGGAAAATTTGATTGAAATTAAATATGGAACTGATCTATAGCGAGCTGTTTGATGATATAGAAGTCTTTGAAAATCGTGCGATTCAATACCCTTACATACAGCACAGCCCACCAGAGCCAACAATTAGGAAGCCCAACGAATCCTTTTATATACACCTTCAGGATGCGGTGCAGGAGCAGTGGCCGGCGTTTGTTATGGCCTACCGACGCAAGTTTAACGCGAAGACCATGGAGCAAAGACACAAAAGAGCCGAGGAGCTCAGAAAGCAGTTAACTAATCAGCGCGTGGATCGACTCTCTGGCAGATTAGCCAACGTGGCATTGCTGACCGCCGACTACCATGCCAAGCGGAACAACAGCTGGTTGGCGTTGCGGGATCACTCAGTGCAGGACATGCAGAAGCATCTGCATAGACACGAGCTCAAGCTGATGGTGCGTGTGAGGCAGCTGCGTGCCCACAATAGTCAGGTGCAAAAGCGCAGCGAGCTGTTGCGATATAGGAACTATCTGACACGCATCGCGCTGCAGCACGAAGAGAAACGGAAACGCATTGGAATATTTTAGCTGGAAATATATTCAGGTCTGTGGCAAACAGCGTCGATCTGAACATATTTCCAACTAATAATGTTTATGTATTCTCCGGGCCTTGTGTTTGTGTCCAGTAAAAACCATCAGCTCGCAGCGACGAGCCACAGAAGTTAAAGGACTTTTCAATGCGTCAAAAGTTTCAACATGAAACTAGCTTCAACTAAATCACTTGTCAACCTCTGACATATTCCGTTTTTGGCGAAACGTCCGAGGCATGCCTCATATAAAAGCGCATAAAATCAGCTGCCTGGCAGCCACAAAGCCAAATGCCACTCCAGTGAATGGGGGTCAGGGCAATTTGCTTTTAAATATGCTCGATTCAAGAGGTTCTCGCTGTAGTTTTTTGTGGCAAAAGTTTTCTCTTTTTGCCGAAAGTTTGCGTGAATGCATCAAGTAAGCCATAATTAGCCAGGTCTTTCGTCTAGCTTCAGTCGGTGAATAAAGTGGCGATTATGGGTTTTTGGCTAAACACAAGCGTTCCTCTCCATGGGTTGAGGTTGGCAGCCGCTCTTGTGCAGCGTCAAAGACAGTGCTCCAGTGTGTTCCCATGGAACCCGGTGCACCGAAATCATGTGTACTCAAGTGCAATTTTATATGCATTCCGGCAGCTCTCAAAGCTCCTTTGAGCTGCTTTCAGCTTACAGACCAGTTGTTGGAATGCAAAAGTAACCGACAACTTGACTGTCTCAGGAACTTTGAGAGCGTTCTTCTTAGCCTTTGGCGTGTGCCAAGTTCAACTTAAATACTTGACCTGTTTGAAAACATATTTAAACTCTGGCCTCCTCATGTTATTCAATTAAACACTAGACCCTGGAGTGTCGGATGTGTGCTCAGTGCTCAGCTAAGATCATAAGCATAATACAATTTGAGCCCATGACAAAGCATTTATTTCAGTGGGGTGCAATTGAATTATATTCATTACACTTGGTAAAACATCAGTCTATAAATACTGTTATTTTTTTCCAAGAAATAATTGAAAGTGAATACCATTCGCTTCACTGAGTTCTATAATTATAATTAAGGCAGCTTTCTCAAAATTTGTTAATGCAGTCTTAAGAGTGCGATTGAGTGAGAATATATAATTACAGATTTGTGCTTTACCAGAATATTCAAGTGTCTAAAGGAATCACAATTGAATAATACATATAAGAAGGTATCAAAATTGAATGGAACCGGGGTCATCTTTGTTTACAAAGATTTTTCTTCTCAAGAAAACATAAATGTTTTTTATAGATATTAATTTAAACCAAAAAAGGTTTAGAATAAGTGTAGATTTACATTATTCAGAATAGACTGTGCATAAAGATGATATACTTATAAAAATTATGCAAATGTCTGACTTTTTCAGCTCCTACAGTAATAGGATAGGAAGGTATATAAACATATCTATCAGAATCTGCACACATGTGCCAATGTATCTAAAGCCCATTTTGACTGCCTGTCAGCCTTAGGGATCTAGTAGTTCACCCAGCGAATTTGGCACTCAATTGGTACCAAAAACAAATGTGGATATTTTGTGAATAAATAAGCCGTGTTACAAACAGGTGCAGCATTTGTTGGTCCTGTCGCTTTTTCGAGCTGTCGGCGTTCTCTCATGGAAGGACGCTGTCATGATGACACTCGACAGCCAACAGAAATTAATTGGAAATTAATTAGTTAAGTAAACTCATTCACTTCATTTCCGATTACGGCACCAAACACCAAGTGCCAACTGTATGGAAACTTTTCGAGTTGGGCCATCCAATAAGCTCGCCGATTTGTTGACTGGCAGTGGCTTTTGCATATCACAACTGAAAAGCACAAACAGCATTTGATTTGGCGAATAACACCATAAATCTAACGTCGCAGTGACTCATAAATATGTTTTACCATGACTCACTCGCTATAGGAGCCCCAACACCTACATATATGGAGCTGTGCACACTTTTAATATTAATTTCCCTTTGGCTCGCTGCTACGACTCGCTTTTCCGTACCGCACGGAAACAATCTAAAACAAGAACGGAGCGAAAAGTTTAAGTACTTCGATTAGCTGTCCAAAAGACGTCAAAGCCAAACCAAGATCATCATCAACACACTGATTTTATGTTGGCCCCAGGGCTGAACATCATTGATATGCAAATTGTATAGCAGGCTTCAGCATATTTCCCAACGTTAACTGGCCAAGGACCTGCTGAGGCGCCTGGGCTAATGAATTGTATTTAACATATTTGTTGCTTGTGTATATTCATTGAAGAAAGGCAAATGAAGTTGTTTGCTTAACTTAACTTTTTGTTGAACTAAAACTTTGCGAAGGCAGCTCATAAAATAGCTGAAAAATCACTTTGCACAGTGACTATTCACAATGGTTTAGTGTTGAAAAACGTATTTTGCTACTCTTAAGTGTTGCCACCTTGCTTAATGCGTGTGCCGTTGTGCTTAGAATGTTTTAAGACAAACATTTTTATAGCCACTTTAGTTTTTATAACATTAAAATTATAATTAACCTATTGTCAAAGAGTAAACTTCAATAAACATAAAGAATAGGTAAAAATTGAATTTGGGCGCTCTGCAAATGTTCAAGAATACATATATATGTATTTCCACGAATTAATCTGAATGTGCTTTTTACAGTACATATTTCAAAGAGTTTTTCGAAATGTGAACAACTCATCAAGTACTTGAGTGGAATTGGACTCACCTACTGGGTAACTTGTGGTCAAGCATACTGCACTTTTGGTTTTTTATTATGGCTTTGTGGCGTGCATTATCTGTGATTCATTCGCATTGGCTGCAATTCCTACGGAGCACTTCAGCAGTACCCGCCCGCAGATTTGTTCAACCGAACAGAAGGTAAAGTTTCCGTTGAGCAACTCATTTAGTTTGCAATTAATTAGTGGCAACAGGCAGCGGTTGGGGCCAACAGCTAACAGCGCGTGTGTACAGGGTGGAGTTTGTGTTTTTCATTAAAAACTAAATAGATGCGGCTTCAGCTCGTTTTTTGTTGTTATTGTGTTGGCACGGCAAGTTTGGAAAGCGGTTTCCGGTTCCGGTTATGCTCCAGCTCCAGCTGCAGCTCGTAGGCGGCTTGGCGAGGGAGGCCTAACAAAATAACAGCAAAAACCGAAAAGTGCTTTATGCGGAATATTTTGATGGGGCGCGAAATGAAAATGCTTGAAATGCTTGACCCAATTGGCAGCAAGTGCTGATGGAAAAACATGCAAAATATTTACCCCCCGAGCGCACAAGATAGCATGAGGCATGCCTCATGAGGGGGAGGCTCATAATGCCGCATAATCTTGGGTCAGTAAATGATTTTGCCATTAAAATGTTTGCGCATGTGTGTGTGTCTGTCTGTGAGAGAGAAGGGCTTTTTTTTGTGATAAGTAAAAGTTTCTTGTTTCTTGTGGCAGCTGTGCGAGGTTTGTGTGCAACAACGTGGTCTCAGGCCCCGGAGACCTAACCCTGTACTTACACAATTTGATAACCTACTTTCAGAATTGTCTTGTTATTGTTGCTGTTTCTGTTGCTTGCAACGTGTTTGGGTTGGCAACATTAAAAATTTACACATTATGACATTGAGGCACACTTTGAGCAGCAGCTGGAAGACAGCACAAAGCGCTCGGTGCACGGTGGACGGGGCACGGGGCACATTCGCACTCGCACTCATGTCCTTGAGCTTATGTTTTTGTTTGGCATTAAGAGCATGTTGAGTCTCACCAAGTGCGTGGGGACACATACACACACACACACACACAAACACACAGTAGAAGGGGGCAACAGCAGCGGCAGCCGTCGGGTCAGATACAGGTGCGTGGCTTCACACTGTGCAGCCTACAAACTGTGTCTACGTTTTGTTACTTGGGGGCAGGAACCGGGAAACGGAACCCGGCACGGATGTATGAGCCCTTTGTTGCCATGTTCGGTTGGCTATCTGTGGGCTGTGGGCGTGGCTGGCGACAGTGCGCACAGCTTGCCACTTGGGAAATACTTTAAGTCCTTTGCCTTAATAGCCCTGCCTTTTTTAGTTCTCGTCTCTGTGTCTCAGCCCCCCCCTGATGGCATTTTCATTTCTTTGGTTTTCTGCTGCTCGGGTGAATTATTGTCATGCGATTTATTACGCGCAACGGGCGACGCTCTGCTGCCGCTGCTGTTGCTGTTCCACATGGCGTATGCGTAACAATAATTGTAATAAAATGCACGTTATATTTTGCCTGTGGCAGCACGCGCGTAATGTAGTGCGGCCTTGCTTGGCTCCACATGCGCCTTGTTGCTCTTCAGCATGGCTATGAAACGCCGAGATGCAACTACGGAGGTGCATAATTAATATGCAAGCAGATATACTTATATTCATATGCATTTATTAAGGGGTATACGATAAATTGACCTGTCTTCGGCTGTGTCAACGCTTATTGTTCTTTTCACACAACTTGTTTCCCGCTTGTCAGCTGTCATGTAGCCAGGTGTCAATTACACGCCCGCCGATTGCCATCAGACACTATTTTTTCGACAAGCCGCAAATCTTATAATTAGAGTAAATTGAGGCCCTGATTCACAATAAAGTAATTAGAATGTGAATACAATATTTAGGAAACGCAATATAATACTTAATGCCAAGGCAAAAGGTCGCACAAGGATACATTTCAAAGAGGTAAAATACTTTCAGTAATAAAATGTATGGTAGATTATTTCAAAACATTTTTATTATTACACTTATTGTTGGAAGAAGCAGAGAGGGTAATCACTCCTGAGTGATTAGATTGAAAATGGAGTCATTATAGCAAATAAGATATATGTTTCAAGTAAACACAAATTTTTGTCGATTATAATTGAAGATCTCTGATCCCGTAAAGTATACATATTCCCAATCAGAACGACGTGCCGAGTCTCTGAGTCCCTTAAGTATACATATTCTTGATCAGAATGCCGAGCCGAATATTTTAGCCCCTTAAGTACACATATTCTTGATCAGAATGCGGATCTGATTCTATCAGTCTCTTCTTCCAGCTCTATATTAATATTGTTTTTGCTTTTTATTGCTAACGAAATCTTCAGTATTTGATTAAAATGTCAAGTAGCTATCGATCGAAAGCCAAATTCTTCCATGAAACCCATTTGTTATTGAGTCTTA